CTGGAAAAGCGCCATAAAGCCCAATCCCTGCCCACTCCCCCCACCCCCCACCTTCCCCGGTTTGGAAATCTATCCCAGCTTTTCCTATGCTTCAAGCTCTGCCCACAGCGCCGTAGCACCAGCATGTCCTGGCTAATGTCAGTTGTTAGGTTTCAGAGTTAACGATCTAGCAAGATGAAGAGCAGTTTGCACTCCTCTAAGAAACACAGGTTTTGATAGTTTGCAGACTCAGGAAAAGAAGCAACGTTTGAGATCAGATTTAGAAGGTGTCCTTTACCACCTATAGGCCTGGAAACTTGCTTTTTATATTTAATTGAAAGCTTAAGCGCTGCAGAAATGGATGGGCACACCACAGAAGGGCCGGTACTGTGTCCTACCGTGTACTTTACGCTGCCTGGTGCTAAGAGGAGACAGTGGAAGAAAAAGAAGCATAGAAGAACATTAACAAAAAAAAGCCGTTTTATTGAAAATGAAATTCAAACTTCAAATTAATATTACAATCATGAGAAAATGCCAAACAATTCAATTTACAGTTGCAACATACAATACAAATAGTCCCTTTGAAGTTGAAGTAAACTGATCCACAATCATCAGCTGTGGCATAAAGCAGAGTGTGTTTGTACAATATGTGCATGAAAAGCAAATCTCGGGTGACAGCACTTGAAAAAATAAAAAATTAAAGCTTGTATTTACACAAAATGCTACAAATATTTTGTTCCAGCGGAAATTCAAGACTGGTAAAGCATATTTAACAACAAAAAAAAAAAATGGAATGTCACTCATATTACCTAAAACAAAAGTTACTGTAAAAGTATGGTTTTGGCTGATATACTTAAAAGTACTGCATTAAAAAAAAAAAAGCAAAGAGTTATCTGTAAACATGGAAGTAAACAAACATCTAAAAAAGTTCTCAGAAAATGTTAAAATGAAATGCATTCTATTTAAAAACAACAAGAAATTCAGGGGTTCAGAGAATGGGGCTTTTTTAAGCTCATGGCTGATCCAGGTTTTAATTATTGCTTTTGCTCATGGCTTGCTGGCCGCGTGCAGCCTGGCGCGGGGCTGAGCTTTGCTTTGCTAAGTGTGAAAGTGCAAAAGTTTCCCCACTCGAGATGGTACCTGTGGAAACCAGTAAGTCTTTGCTCAGGGAACTGCTGGCAAAAAAGTTCGAGGCTAAGAAGGACACAGCAGCTGGTCTTTTAAAAGAAACGATAAACGCCACGTGAATGATGCTGCGGGTTAAATAATTTGCTTTACTCATCCGTCCCGACCCGCTGACCCCGATCTGGTTACCCTTAGGAGGAAGGAGAGGAGGATTTAATCCTCCGTTTGGCAAAAGGGACATCGTGCCTGTTGTGCTGGAAGTAAATCTTTGGTAGGATAAGAGAGGTGGAAAGTAAAAAAAGGCCATTTTTTTAATCTTTACATCTGTGACCGGTGCCAAAGATTGCCACTCACCGAAGGGAAGGGGTGTCGTACCTTTGAGAAAACTCCTTTCTGTCGATGCTAAGCACCTCGCAAAACGTCAAATAATCTGATATGATTTACTACATAGCGCTGGTTGGGGTTTTTTTTTTCTGGTCTGAAATCCTGATTCAAGAGCATTTCCAAGGGAACTCGAAAGCATTTTCCAAAAGCTTTGATGAGCATCTCTGCCTCAGCCTGTACAACTCCCTCCGTGACCAGCCTGACGTACCGGGAGAGATTTTCCAAAGGCACCAGGAGGGTTCAGGAGCACGGGAGTCTACTGAAAGTCAAGGGGCTGGTGCTCCTCCATCCGTAGGTACTTAGAAAATCCTTTCCTTCCTATCTCAAGCAGGCAGAGCCAGACGCCTGCCCGCACGGCCAGGGAAGCCGAGGACACGGACCGGGCACGTGCGCCTCGACGGGGTGGAGAAAACGTTTTCAACGTCTGTCCCTAATGGTCCAGTTGAAAAACCGCGGGGACACAAACAGAGTCCTGTCGGTACTGAGCAAAACAAAAGTCTGGTCTGTGCTGGATTTATCCAGAAACAAAAACCAAGTGCTTGAATTTTACAACAAAGTCTTAAAAAAAAAAAAAAAAAAAAAAATGTGGGTTGC